TACCAAGCCCCAGTTCCTCCCACTGCCTACTAGTAGTATAAAGCCCAAACTCTGCTTATTGCCTTTTCCCATATGACCTTCGAAGTGTTTCGAGACGACACTTCTCATAAAAACCTTTTGTGGGCTTATGATATAGTCTCTCGAAGTCACATTCTTAATCCAGTGACTCAGATAGAACTCTACACCTTCTTGGATCAACTCATTCTCCTGCTTAACTGGCATAAAAATGCCTTGGCCATTAGCGAATCATTGGAGGAAATTTCTGCCACTCATATCCAAACCCAGTCCGAAGCAGAGAATCTCCTTGAAGACTATGAAGACTTCAAGAACAATCACTCAGTATATGGAGAAGATGCTAACATAGATGGGATGGACAAGTGGAGAAGGCACTGAAGCAAACACAGTTTGAGATGAAGACCAAGCAGCTTTTCCATCAAGTGAGGGCACATCAGCTAGAATGGCCCCAATTAGATAAGATTGAGGAAAGGTTGGAGAGAGAACATACATTCATTGTATTTTGCTAGAATAAGTTCCATGACCTTGTAACCTTTTCGATTCCTTATTTTTATGAAATTGAGAATGTACTCAAGTAGGTCCTTCAATGTAATTATTTATTTACTTAATAAAATATGAGTTTCTTTCTTCCAACCACATGGTTCGTACTTGCTAATATGCATGTCTTCAATCAAACTTGTTAACATACTAGCAATACTGGCTTCGAAGCAACCCATTCATTTCGAGGCCAAGTCAAGCATTTCAAAGCACACTTTTCCTCTTCTAGAGGTAATAAAATGCTCCTTCAAAGGAAATTTCCTTGAGAGAAAGTCCAAAATGTACTCTCAAGACCTTCGAAATGTTAAATGGGTCCTAACCCCATATGGGTCAAATAAAACCCGAATAGCTTGGAACTACTTGACCCGTCAGATTCAGTGGACAACTTAGACAAGAAGGTATAAAGCCCTAATTTTTGCGCTCTTACTTATTTACTTGTTCACTTCTTACTCTTACTCCTACTCCTACTCAGCCTTGCTCTTATTTTAGCTCTTATTCATCCCTACCCTCACTTCTACTTCTTCAGTCCCTCTTTCAACTCTCATTAATGGCTTCTTCTTCCTCCAGAAATTTGCCAGTCATCGAACGCTTACGTCCCCCGGTGGCTTTAAGGAGATGCGTAGATGAAGAAATAACCAAGTTTAGAGAACTAGAGGGCCATAGTGCGACCGACGAAAGGTACTTTATCCATCGCCACCACGCAAAATGAGAGTATGTCCTTGGCCCTATTTTCACTAAGGCTCCTGCTGTACTTCCTCCATTGCACCCACGCTTGGAAGATCACTACCTTCTTTATGAAGGGAATCTCAACTGGGGATCTTGAAGGACCTCTCGACCCCATCGCTGCTGTCCCACATTGAAGACAGAATGAGAGGAATAGTATAATAGAGTCGTTGAAGCTAGGGAACAAGACCTAGAGGACCTTTGCATTCTTGATGCCCTTCGTCTTTCTAGGTTCATAATTTCTAAAGGCCCCTTTCTTGTTCCAGCTGCTCTTTGTTTCTAGAACTTTGCTTTTAATTTTTTTCAATTTTGGTGCGGTATGATGGCCCCCACCATTCTTGATATGTGTCATCTTCTAGGCTGTCACCTATTGATGATCCCTTCGGCCTTGATTACCTAGACCTTAAGGTCACTTTCTCTGTTCCTACTTCAAATCCTTCTTATAGTGAATTCATAGGAGCTAATAACAATAGAAAAGGTCTTGTGACAGATCGAGAATTCTTTTCTTTTATTCTTTACTAGCTTTGCAAGTTTCTTTTGTATATCTCTTCTAAAAAAAATAATGTCTGAATTTATCCCTCTTGCCAAGGCTTTGGCTTCAAAGAAGAGGATAGCCCTGACCCCTTATGTTCTACGCCATGTATATAGGGTTTGTTGCCAATTTTGTGAGAGGCCTCTTGAACCCAATCAAGGAGGCCCTATTTGGGTTCTTCAACTCTGAATTTTTTCTTACTTCACTGATTTCCACTATTGCTATTTGAAATTCTTGGTGCAAGAGCCCACTACTTACGGAAAGAAGTATGCCAAAGTTTCTTTGAACCCTTCCAATTTTGCTTACTATTTTTCTTACTTCCTCAACCTCCTTGCCTCTATTCACCCTTCATTCTTTTACCCCTTCGATGCTAACATAGGGCCAACATGGTTAAGGGCCTTCTTGGTTGATACCACCTTCTCCAGCCCTTACCCTATTTATAAGGAGATGTGGACCTCAATTTTGATCCCAATGGGGCTCTTTATTGGTACCCTAACCCCCGGGGCCTACAAATGCATTGTTGAGGCATATTGCCCTTCTCAATTTGCGAGGCAGCTTGGGCTTTCTCAGGGTATCCATGTCCCTCTCTACAGCCTCTTCAACTCTGATCTTGACACCAGAAATTTGAACATGCCAAAATCCAGACTGGATGAAGTAATAATCGAGGTTGTAAAGAATGTCTTCAGTTTTGAATTTGTACCCTTCATTGGCCATAATGGGGTTACGAAAAGGTTTCAAGATTGGTGGATGGCCAACATGGAGGTGCATCTTGCCACTCCCACCTTGGATTTACTGAAAGATTTGGATGTGTCATCTCAATGTGGGAAAGCCAAAACCAAAGAAGCCGGCATCACTATTGCTTCTACCCCTGCTGTTTCAGCCCCTTCACTCAGAATCACTAGGGTTGCCATTAAGAAAGGTACATGCTTCGCCTCTTCTTTTTCCTTTCTTTTCCTCTCTTTTATACTTTTCTTTACTCTTAGTATTTCTTTTTATTAGTACAAGGGCTTCGCAGGAGGCTTCACCTTAACGGGCATAAGCCCTAGTCACATTGAAAGGCAAACAACAGGAGTTGAAAAACAGAAAGACCTAACTAAAACTTGAGCCTATGGAGGAGGCACCTGGGGTTCCCTCAAAAGAAGAAGAGGAAAAGAAAGAAGAATCTCCCCTGAAAATGAGAAAGATGCCATCCTCTCCTACTGTCAGCCTCATCATGGACTTTGCTCACGAAGCAGCTGCCAAGGTAGTGGAGAAGGAATAGGCCAAAAAGGTCATTGTGTTCCAAAGATCAAAGAAGAAGAGGCAGTAGAAAATTTTAAAGGAGGAAGTTACTATTGCTGAGGCAGCACAAAAGAAGGCTGCAAGGAAAAGTAAAGTTGCTGAACATCACACTCTTCACAGCTCTTCAGTTACCACTACTGCAGCAGCTGGTAATTCTCCTAATCCCTTTATGATGCCTCTTGTTCTTATACCTTTTTGTGTTAGCATTGCCTTTATACTTCTTTTCTTGTGAAATGCAACAGCAATTGGCTTGCCTTTCTCATTTTTAATGCCAACTTCTTCTTCTCTCTGAAAGGCCACCCCTGAGCCCCTCATAGTTAGAGGCCTTAAAAGGAAAAGGAAAAGCAGATACCGATTTTCCAATGAGTGTAGAGCCCCTGCAAACAATATTTTTAATCCCTGCCTCTGCACTCCCAATAGCCTCTTCCTTAATTCCCCAAGCATTCCATCTTCCCTTTCTCCTAGCCTTTTTAATCCCTCAAACCTGCCGCTAATCTCAATTGCCTTACCTTTGCAGACTTTTCCCAGAGCCCTGGCTACCCCATTATCACCTAAGAGAACCCCAATTGTCACTTCTTCTTCAATGGCAGCTGGTACTTCCAAAGATGACACTGGCAACTCACCAATTTCCTCCCTACCATCCGGCTCCAGTCCTTCTTCTCTTGACTTATTGGTGGCCAGGACCATGATACTACTGGGGAATCCTCCACTCCTTCTCTTATCCCCATGCTTCTATCTCTTCCTTCAAGTAGTGATTCCTCTGTACTGCTAATCTTAGAGGATGAAATGGACATCTTTGAAGCCCAGCTGGCGAGCTTATTTGATATATCTACACCAGTTCTTCCAACTGGTAGTGATACTGAGCCACTGGACTTAGCTGACTCTTTACTCAAGATAATTAAAGGCTCCTCTACTACTGAGTCCATCTCTTTTCCTCAAGTAGATTTGGGCACTTCCTTAGAGTTGATGAGGACATTCTCGAGGATTCCATTTGAGGCTTTATAGAAACCAACTATCAAGAATGAATTCCTTAGATGCTGCTAGCTCTTTGAGCAGTCTAATGCTGCCTTTAAAGGCCATTTAACCCAGGCAGCAGCAACCATTGACTTTTATGTCAACATTTGCCAAATGGCTAAGGCTGCATAGAAGGAACTCTTAAAAGACAAGGAGTTTGCCTCCCATACCCATTCTGAAGTTTCAATGCTAAAGGGACAATCCTCCTCCACCTCACAACTTCAAGCTCAACCCTTACATAGGAAGGCAGGACTAGAGAAGGAGCTAGTAGCGGTCAACCTAGCTTTGGAGCAGAATGCAGAGAGGTTGCAGACTTTACACTAGGGGCTATCAAGCTGTAGACAGGAGATGAATACTGCCATACAACTATTCCCAACATTCCAAAACAGAGAGCTTATTGTAAGGGAATAGTTGAAACATTGTAATGAATTTTGGACCAATTTGTGGCATAATGTACTTAAACTTTTATGAAATGAAGCATTATTCTTTTACACAAATGTTTACTGGCTTTACTTAATGTTTCCATATAGTATCTTAAACTCCTTGTGCCTCTCATATGGTTGGGTAATAAGGTTTCAAATACTTGCCATTAATTTTTTGGGATGCACATCTCCATTTTAATTTTTTAAATGGTAGGCTCCTCTAGGAAAAACTCTATGGACTTGGTATGGACCTGCCCAATTAAGTGACCATTTTCCAAACTTGTGGCTTTTAAATCCTATTGGAAGTATTGTTTTCTAAACCAAGTCTCTCTCTTCAAAGCTAATGTGTTGAACCCTTTTATAATTTCTTTTGGCTGTATTTTTCTTTTGTAAAAGCATATTATTTAATGTCAAAATTCTGGCTTCATCCACACCTTCTAACTCTAGGCGCATGCTTTGGTGATATTGATCAATACTTAGATGGTCTTGGCATTTACACTCAGTGACTTAATATTGATCTCCATAGAAAGCACTGCATCGTGCCCATATACTAAGGCATAGGGAGTAATTCTAGTACTTGATCTTTGGGAAGTCCTATAAGCCCACAACACATCTAACAACAAGTTGTGCCAATCTCTAGGATTGTCTTCTACAACCTTCGGCATCCCCTTCTTCAAGGATTTGTTCAATGACTCTGCCTGACCATTTGCTTGTGCATAATAGGGGGTGGAATTGACAAGGCTAATTCCATATTCTGCTGTGAAAGCTTTTACTAGCTTTCCATCAAACACAGTCCCATTGTCCACAGTAATGGTCTATAGAATACCAAACCTATAGATTAACTCCTTGATAAAGTCAATTACCTCTATTTAATCTACAGTCTTATAAGACTTAACTTCAACCCACTTGGTAAAGTAGTCTGTGGCCACTAGAATGAAACAATGTTGCTTCGAAGAAGGTGGGTAAATTTTCCCTATCATGTCCATTGCCCACCCTTTAAATGGCCAAGGCTTCACCACTGCATGTAGATAAGCTATTGGAACATGCCTTATCATGCCATGCTTCTAGAATACTTGGCAACCCTTTGCATACTCTATGCAATCCTTAAGGATGATTGACTAATAATAAGAATGCCTTCAAAGCAACCATCTCATCTTAACACCAGGCTAATGAGCATAACAAATATCTTCATGTACCTCAACCATGGCAGTCAATGCCTCTTTTGGTCCTAGGTATTCCAATAGAAGACCATCTGCTCCTCTTTATAAAGAGCATTCCCATATACTATGAATTGTATTGACCGTAGTTTAAGCTTTCTACTAGCCTTCGAAAAAGAGCTAGTTAAATACTAAATGATTGGATGTCTCCAATCTTGTTCTTCCAAGTCATTTTGATTAGCTTCTACCAATATACATCTTTCTACTAAAGGTGGTATTAGCTTATGATATGTTGCTTGACTCATATCTATTTGAGTATTATCCCTTCTTTTGAAATTCGAAGTATTATGGGCCATATCTATTTGAGTATCATGAATCTTGTGATATAAGTTACATTTGCCACTTGGAATTGGGAAAGTAAATGTACATCACCAACATAATATGGTAATAGACTTGCACTTTAACATTTAAAGACTCATTTTACTTGATTAATTACCAATTGAGAATCTCCAAATATGTTAACTACATGAACCTGTAAATCAATAAGTATTTCAAGTCTCATAACTAAAGCTTCATACTCAGCTTGATTATTGGAACAAGTGGTTTCATCAATTCTAAAACCGTGCGTAGTTTTTGCCCCTTGTGGTGATTTGATTACAACACCAATCCTAGCTAGACCATTAGCTTTTGACCCATCAAACCACATATTCCATGGTTCTGAATCAGCTGTGTCAAGATCCATTATTTCTTGACTTTTTGCTTGACATGGATGATCAGCTAAGAAGTTGGCCAACACCAGACCTTTTATTGCTTTTTAAGGGACATATTCTAAGCGGAATTTTGACAAAGCTAAAATCCATTTGTCAATTTTTCCTCATAATATAGGTCTAGATAACATATATTTAACCAAATCTGTAGTTGTAATTACCAAGACAATATTAGGCAAAAGATAATATCTTAATTTTATTACTGCAAAGTACAAGGCTATACACAACTTTTCTACAACTGAGTATTTACATTTTCAAGAGTTTGAAAACCTACTAAGGTAATAGACTGCTTGCTCCTTGCCTTCTTCATCGTCTTGAGCCAAGAAAACTCCCAATGATTCTTCAGCTGTAGCAATGTATAACTTCAAGGGTTTGCCCTTCCTTGGTGGCATCAGTACTGGTGGTTTGGCCAAATAGGCTTTTATTCCTTCAAAAGCAGCTTGATGCTCTGCTGTCCATGTGAACTCTTCTTCATCTTTTAACTTTAACAAAGAAGAAAAAAACTTTAGTTTTCCCAGCAATATTAGAAATAAACCTTCGAAGAAAGTTAAGTTGACAAAGAAATTTTTGTAATTCTTTCTTACTTGCTGGAGGCTTAGCCTCAATGATGTCTTTGGCTTTGTTCTGATCAATTTGTATTCACTTCTTATGTACCACATACCCCAAGAAGTTTCCAACTGATACACCAAAAGCACACTTGAGTATATTGAGCTTTTAGCTTGAATTTCCTCATTCTTTTGAAGGCTACTATCAGATGGCCTAGATGCTCTTCCATATACTGAGATTTTACAACAATATTATCAATGTAACATTCCAAGTATCCTCCAATGAGATAATGGAAGATAGTGTTCATTGCCCCCCTGATATGTTGCTTCAGCATTCTTCAACCCAAATGGCATCTTAACCTATTCGAAGATTCCAATGTTTCCAGGACACCTGAAAGCTATTTTGCGGACATCCTCCTTTACTATGTATATTTGATTATAGCTAGAGTGTCCATCCATCATGGACAAGATTCCATGTCCTGCTAAATTGTCCACCAGTAAATCAACTATATGCAGAGGGTACTCATCCCTTAGAGTTGTCAAATTCAGATTTCGGAAGTCAATGCATACCCTCAATTTGTCGTTCTTCTTTATCACAGGCACAATATTAGATAGCCATTCAACATATCTGGCTGTTCTAATGAAGCCTATTTTAAGGAGCCTAGCAATCTCCTCATTTTCTTTCTGAACTACTTCAGGACTCATTTGCCTAGGTCTTTGCTTGTATGGCTTAAAGTTTGGCTTGACTGGAAGTCTATGCTCTACCAATGACCTATCCAATCCAGTTACATCATTGTATGACCAAACAAAAAAATCCTTATATTGTTTCAGGATAGCCAATAACTAGTCCTTAGCAATGGGGTCCAACCAAGCACTGATGTAGGTAGGTTGTTGTATTGAAGCTTCCCCTAAATTAACTTCTTCCAAGGGGTCTTGCATATGAGTACTCACCAATGCTTCTCATTCAGCTTTATCTAGCTTCGAAACAATCGTTTCCTCTTGATTTACTATAACCCATCCTCGTTGCACATCTTTATTTTCCTCTTCATAGACAAAGTCTGTCCATAAAGCTTCTTCTTCCTGGATTTCTTGGACTTTAGTCTCAATGTCCAATGCACAATACTTATCCAGAGCCAATAACTTGGCTTCTTGTTGCTCATGCCTGAAACCAAGTATCATGGTTTCCTTTTCTTCTTCATGGATTTTCTGGACTATTGCATCAATGTCCAATGTCAAGAATTTGACTAAAGCCAATGGTTTGGCTTCTTGATCCTCCTACCTACAACCAGGCATTGTTGGTATCCTTGATGATGTACTCATCATTAGCACTTTCTTGCACTAAGTGTTTCAGGTGTGCCACTTCCTCATCAGCCATTATTTCGACTGTTACATTAGGCTTTCTCAGCACACCAAGCAAAACCACCCCCTCAGTATACAACTTTGCTTCTACGAAGTTTGCACACACAATGAAGGGTTGTGGGTCTGTATTTATTTCTTTTGTCTCTCCATTACATAGGGCTATCAGCACCTTCTGATGCAGGGATGAAGGCACACATTTGTTGGTGTGGATCCAATCTCAACCAAGTAAGGCATTGTACTTGGCATTGTTGTTTATTACAAAGAAGACAGTCATACAGTCTCGTGTCCCCACACTTAAGTTAATGGAGAATATGCTTTTAACCATCTGTTTATCTCCAACAAAACTAGCAATGGTTGTGCTTATTGGGATTAGCCTGGGGTTTCCTTACCCAACTTCCTCAAGGATGAACGAGGAAGCAAATTCACTACTGCCCCATTATCTACTGGTACCTTGTTCATTTCTATTCTATCGAAATATGCCTTGATATACAAAGGCTTAACATGCTGCGTCATGGATACTATGCGATATTCGAAGGGGTATGACAGGGTAACTATGCTTACCTCTTCATTCTCTTCGTCACTCTTCATGGGTTTGGCCACTTTAGACTCATTCTAGATTATGATGGTCTGCAAGTCTTCACTGAAAATTTTATAGGGTTATCCTCCTGATTCCCTTCTCCAGCTTGAAACTCTTGTGGCAACACATAGACCATATTATTGGCATTGGAGAAAATGAGCCAAACTATACCATGGACTGCACTCTGTGTTGGTCTGAATCGATGCCGATGATGCATCTTCCAAGCTGAATTCTGGAACATCTGCCTTGATATACAAAGGCTTAACATGCTGAGTCATCGATACTATGCGATATTCGAAGGGGTATGACAGGGTAACTATGCTTACCTCTTCATTCTCTTCGTCACTCTTCATGGGTTTGGCCACTTTAGACTCATTCTAGATTATGATGGTCTGCAAGTCTTCACTGAAAATTTTATAGGGTTATCCTCCTGATTCCCTTCTCCAGCTTGAAACTCTTGTGGCAACACATAGACCATATTGATTGGCATTGGAGAAAATGAGCCAAACTATACCATGGACTGCACTCTGTGTTGGTCTGAATCGATGCCGATGATGCATCTTCTAAGCTGAATTCTGGAACATCTAAGTTAGCAAGCTCCTTAGCAGCAGTGTGTTGTTGGTCAGCCATGAATACAAACTTTGTTTACTCAGCCATGAAGGCTTCGAACATCTCTTCCTCAGCCAATATCCTTTCCTGGTCTGGCTTAGTTTTTTCATCTATCTCACTGTCATCATCACTCTCTAATAAGGCCTTTTCGAGGCCTGTCAAACTTGATTTCTCTTTGGCTTTTTGTTCAGCATGAATCTCAGCCAATTTTTCTCTGCTGGTTAGACTTCTGTTGACCTTAGGGTTAGGCTTCGAACTTCTTTCTTCTCCCAATTGACCTCCTGGTTGTACCAAAGAAGTACCCTCACCAGCTTCCTTTAGATCTTTCTGATATCGAGTAAACCTCCGTTGGACCTTTCTTCTCTGGGATCTAGACATCGCAGAAACCATATTTGGTTATTTTGTCTTTGGGTTTTTGAGCAGTACCCAGTTGTTTGGTGCCACCAAAGGAGGCTTGATCATTATGTCCTTGCTTGCAAAGGCTCTTCCCTGGGTTGGTACCATTTTAGGTTTGCTTTTCATGACAAACCAATCTGTGACTCCTGGTACCCTTGAGCCCACCATTCTAGTAGTTATGCCTACTGTTCTCATCTTCGAAGGACAATCAGTGGCCTTGGTTTCTGTTTTGAGCCTAAGTCAAGCTTACACACAGGCTTGCTGATCAATTTGTAGTAATTTGGTGACCTTGTTCCATACAAAGGCCTCTTGCCCATTGCATGAAACTAGCTTCTATCTTCTGGTGGTGCAGCCAAGGATGTCTGCTACCTAGGACCATTCAGGTAAAGCTTCTTGTAGGTACTAGCTGCCCTACGCTCCTTTTACATATCTTTATAGTTTTATAGTACTGTTTTCCATCAATTGAAAGCCCTTTCAACCACTTGAAATTTAGCCTACACCTTGGACACATCCGTTGCATAACTGCTGCCTCGAGTGAGTCATTATCCAAGGTGTCGGTCCCTTCGCTAGAGCCATCCTCCAGGCCCACGAAGCTCTTTCCATTTGCTGGTGAACCCTGAGTATTCTTTCCAAAGGCTACTTGGCTAGCAATATACGTTTGCACATTGACTTCATCAGATCCTTCAAGGAAAAGCTCCTCTTCACTTTTTGGGTAAGGAAGTCTAGCACGCCAACATTGGCTACTGCTTCTCTGATCTCAGGAAATTGATTAATGGTAATCCTTATTGCCTTTTCTGCTTTGGCTGGAAACTTCAGTCTTCCTTTCCGAATTTGCTCTTGAATCCTGTCTTGAAAAACAAAATAGTTTTTTGTTGCATGAGACCAAGAGTTAGGCCATTTACAGTACATTTTTCCTTTAATTTCTTCTGAAGTTGGGATCTTAACTCCTTTAGGAAATTTTAGAAACTATGTTGTCAGCAAATGATCAAATATTTCATCTGCTTTTGATATATCAATAGAATATTTCCTGTGAAGGTCTTTCTCTTTAAATTGATGATCAATGTTTGTATCCTTTTGAATTAATGCTTCGCAGGTCACAGATCTCCGCTACATCAATATCAAAATTAGGATCCCTGTAGTAGGTTATATAAGATGCATTACCACGATCTTGTTCTTCTTCAAGGAGAGTCTCATATCTAGTAACGTTATAAGTTAGTTCAACTAAGTCTTGAAACTCTATGGAGTCAAACTTCTTTCGAAGCCTAAACTCTAGCCCATTTTGGGCTAACCTCACAAATTCAGGTTCAGGTAATATGACCCTACATTTGTTTTGTGCCCTTTTAAATCTGGCAATAAATTGGACAACCTTCTCATTAGGCTTTTGGCTCAATCTTGCCAAGTCTGTCGTGGATACTTCAGACTCTATTTGGAAAAACAGGGCATGAAAAATCTCTTCCATTTGTTGCCAGGTCTGAATAAAACCGAGTGTAAGGTTTGTATACCACACAAAAGTTTTCCCAGTTAAGAAGTTTGGAAAGAGTCTTAACTTAATGTAGTCATTGTTGATAAATTCACCACATTGCCCTGTAAATCTTGCAATATGTTCAATAGTTGATTGGTTTTCATTCCTATAAAAGAGGGTAAAGTCTGGTATCTTATACCCTCTTGGGTATTCACGCAGTCTATCCACCTATTTTGGGTAAGACTTTCTGTAAACAAGGGTTTGGACCCCCCGAGCCATAGGTCCACAAATTTCTCTAACAATGTTAGCAATTTGGTTCGTAGGTACAATATTTTGTGATGGTTAGACCACTATTGGAGTGACAAACATAGGGTTTGAAGAAACCTCTTGTGCTTGAAGCCCTCTTGGTCCATATAAAGGCACATTTAGGACTGTTTGTCCCTAGAGAATGGGTTGTCCCTGTTGTGCGAGTTGATTTTGAGGGTATGATTGACCCCTTATGGTAGGCATTTGTCCCACAAAAGGTGCAACAAAAGGAACCACTAGAGGAGAAACATGTGTTGTTTTTCTTCCAACTGCAGGAATTCCTTCCAACCCCCCAGGTGTAAGTTCAAACACAGGATTAGTGAATACACGAGTGCCAAATGTGGGTTCAAACATAGGATTTGAAAACACTCGAATGTCATTTCCTTGTGTTAACCTTGGTCTACCAATGTGTATGGTTTAGCTGGTAGGTAAAGGTATGCTCTGACTCATTAGTGGTCTAAGAGGAGTTTCCTACCATGATTAAGGTACAGGTGATGGTCTCTTATGATTTTGATTATTAGCTTGACCACTGGTTTGCCCATTACTTTGTCTATTACTTTGCTTAGGCTGCTTATCTCAAGCTAGTCTTTACTAAAGTAAGTTGATATTTTCTTCAACCTATCTGAGGATAGGTGGTTGATAGGTATTCATTCAATCCAAAAAGGATGTTGCCCATCTTTCCATTGTATGCATTAATTGTTGTCCCATAACATCAACCAATCTTCCCCACGGATTCGCTGGTTGGGTAGATGGAACAATTGTAGGTCTAATCTCTTGGCCTTGTCCAACATTTTGGACTTGTATTGCATATCCTGAAGTGCTGGTCTCTTCGACCAATTGTGTAGGACCACTTAAAGTAGACACATCCACGAGACACTCAACATTATCCTCTTTTTTATTCAATTCTAGATCTCCTTCTACACTTTCTTCGAGACATTCATTTTCTCTTTGTTGTCTATGTCTAGTCATTATAATGGGGGTCCCACTGGGCGTGCC